AATGAAAAACCTGGAGCCAGATATTGGGGTAAATACTGAAAGATCAGAGACAAAGGAACCAGCAACCGCCACGTCTTACCTCTAGGACTCCTCAGCCTGAAAAGCCTCAGCTGAATAGCCTCTAATTCCTGTATCCTCAAGCCTTATATACCTTCTCCATTCAGCCATATAATTTCCTATCTCAACTTTCCTAATGCTGGGATTAAAGACATGTGACTCCCTAGTACTGGAATTAAAGGTTTGTGCCATCACTGCCTGACTGTTTCTCTCCTAGACTGACTCATTCTCATGTAGTCCAGGGTGGCTTTGAACTCACAGAGATCCAGAAGGATCTCTGCCTCCTGAGAGCTAGGATTAAAGGTATGTGCCACCATTGTCTGGACTCCATGTTTAATCTAGTAGCTTGTTCTGTTCTCTGAACTTCAGGCAAATTTTATTAGGGTACACAATATATCACCACATATTAATCTATATTCTATCATGTGGTGTTACCCCTCTTTCATCTTCCACTTCCTGTTTCCTCTCTATGTCTCTTGGCATCTCCTTCACACCTAGATTCCTCCTCCTCTACCTTTCTTTACCCAGAAATCCCACCTATACCTCCTGCCTGACTATTGGATGTTCAACTCTTTATTACACCAATTACAGCAATATATCTTTATACAGTATACAAATATCCCACAACAAGCAGCTTCTGTTGCCACTCTCTTCCATCCAACAATACCACTAGACCATACTTTCTCCTATCATCGTTCCTTCCAACTGCTTACTTAGGTGGTCCAATATCACCTCAAATTTAACATTTCTAACACTAGCCTTGTCTTTTTCTTTTGACATCTTTCCTGTGTATCTGTTTTCTAATATTAGGTTTTCACTGACAGAAAGCAGAAACTAAAAATAAATAGCAGAACAAGTGAATTTTATTAGGTGCCTATTTCTTCATTTCCCTCCCTTGCACTATCTCTCAAACTTAGCCCTTCCTTTCCTTTCCTATTATAACTCCCTTGGTTCATGCCCTGATGGCTACATTAGCCTCTTAAAGTTCTCTCTAGTTTATTTACAGCATATCTATTTCCTCTATTACCAAAGCTTCTTTTTCTTTCTGTACATCATTAGTATTTTTAATTACCCCAACATATTATCTTAATCTTAATCCTTAAAAACTTTAATAGATCCCTCTACCTATTAGATAAACTCAAATTTAAGAGTGTCCCAAATCCAAACATAATTTATGTTTCTAGTGTTCTTCCCCTCCCCCCACCTTCCCTATCATGAAAATCTGGACTCAATTGACATCAAAACTTGTGAGCGTGAATTCAGAACCCAAATACCTGAGACACCTTTCTTTCCCTATATCTTTCCAATAAGTTTTTTTTTAACAGCCACAGTTCAAAGTACCCTTTGTCTTTTTGAGTTTTGACTGAAATTGCCATTGATGAATGTCATTCATTTGCCTGACATTTCCCACTTCATATGGAAATGAAGCAAAGGAAAGTTTTGTGTGTGTGTGTGTGTGTGTGTGTGTGTGTGTGTGTGTGTGTGTGTGTGTGTGTCTTATTACCCCAACTTGGTATTAATTCCCCTGAGGCTCAAACGTGGGGCCTTACACAGGACATGCAAATCTCAGCCCCCTTTCAAGACATTTTTGTGCCACAAGTTCTCTCCAAAATTGGATTTTGCTGAGATTCCCTCCAGTGATATTATACTATTCGAGTCTCTGTGGCATGTAGAAAAATAAATATTGGAGTTGATTGGCAGACAATTCCTTTCTTTGAAAACTGAAGTGTTTTAAGAGCAGATTGAGATCTGCCAAGTAGAGCAATTAAAAGCATCCAGCTGAGCTTTACTTGAACTCTACCATAAATCTGTTTAAGGGAGATCCAATATGACTTCAGCATCACTGAGCCCTCACAGGGAAGGGCCATGCAATCTTGAAAATGTATGTACCACTTGCTCGTGATCAACACCAGGAATAATTCACATTAGTTTCACCTGGACAGTTAACAAAGCACCTCTGCTCACATTGCACTGTTTGCTGCCCACTGAGTTGTTGTTGGTTGTTTTTGCTCCTTTGGGTGGCCTGCCACCCAGCTCCCAAATAAGTCACACATGGAGGCTTATTCTTAATTGTAAATGCCCAGCCTTAGCTTGGCTTAACTCAAATTATCTCATCTACCTTTTGCCTCTGGACTTTTTCGTTTTCTTACTTCTGTATATCTTACTTTCACTCTTACTCCATGGCTGACTGGATGGCTGGGTGGTTGAATAGCTGGGTGGCCGGGTGGCTGGCCCCTGGCATCCTCCTCTCCTTGTTCTCTTGCTCTTTCTTCTTTTTTTTCTCCCAGATTTCTCCTATTTATTCTCCCTGTCTGACAGCCCTGCCTGTCCTTTCTCCTGCGTCACTATTGGCCATTCAGCTCTTTATGAGACCATCAAGTGTTCCAGACAGGCAAAGTAACACAGCTTCACAGAGTTAAACAAATGCAACATAAAAGAATGCCACACATCTTTGCACCATTAAACAAATATTTCACAGCATAAACAAAGTAACACATCTTAAAATACTATTCTACAACACTGAGTAGATGGGGCCAATGTTACAGCTATGATAGACTGAGAAAGGTTTTGTAACTGTATTGAGTTTGCCCCATTTGGAAGCAGATGCCCAGTCTGTAGCCTGTCTCATATGTTTTTCAGTTACTTGCTGCAGTCCCAAAGCTACCTCTCTTGGAGCAGTTGTGTGCCTTTAAAGGCAGCAGAAAAGTCAGTTCACACCTATTCAAACTCTTTGGTTTTGTTCTCCAAGAGCTCGAGGTCTTGCAACAACATCAGCAGTGCAAAACGCTGCAGTATTTCCCCTACAGTGTCACCTACACATCACCCTCCCTGCTCCATTGCTCTTTGAGAGCCTGGCATCATTTCCTGAATGACTTTGCTGTGGGGAGTGGAGCATAGCTTAACACAAACACCACATTCAACCACTTGTGGTTGCACGACTGTTCCAATACCAAGAAGTTCTCAGCCTTAGCAGATGGCCTCCATGTTTCAGAAGGCAGTGACAGAATGTAGCCAGAATTAGATATCATGTATCTGATTCATCTCATACCTAACTTAAACCCAAAGAGTCAAATGACAGTTAAGCCATAGGACATCAATTCAAAAAAGCCTTGAGACATGTAGGAGATCTGAGACAGGGCTTGGCTATGGCATTTGCAGGACCCAGGGCCAAATGAAAATTTGGGACCCTCTGTTTGAAATGCATTAAGCATTTGGAAGTCACACAGCAGGAGAAAACCAGTTCAGGATCCTTTGAGCCTAGCCTCTGGCATCTATACCTGAGACAGAAGCTAAGGTATTCCAAGCGCCCTCTGTAAAACCTATCAGTCCAGTAAGATAATTGATCTGGTGACAGTTGGTGTTGGGGATTTCTGCAAAGTGTGACTGCCACAGACAGCATTAGCCTAACTTTATGTCCTCTGTACATTTTCTTCCTGTCATCCTTTCCCTTTGGCAATCATCATGTTTGCTTTTGTATTCCATGGGCTCCTCGGGGCTGTAATGGTTTCCTATTATCCCTGTGGTCCTAACATAGCATGGATGAGTGAGTAGTACATAATAAATGTTGGTAGGTAAGTGTCCCTACTTTCCTCCTGTCCCATCCTTCCTTGCTGTTGTACCCTAAAACATATTGTCTTGGCTTGCCCATTTCAACTGAGTCACCAGTATATTCCTCTGATGGAAAACCTTCCACTGACCAAACGGAAAGAGATTCATGTTAGCTGTCCTGGGATCCTGCAGTAGCTACTGAGCTCAAGGGCAAAGGTGGCCATCAGTGAGAGCATCATCAGGTTAAGAAATCCTTTCATTTTAGTGATTTGCATTCTCAACAGACCCTTGTATAGCAAGCCCTATGCCAACTTTAGGGTTAACCAGAACCCGCTTATGTGGAAATCATGGCTTGGCCATTGGGGCTTACACATAACCAGTTCACATCAAAACAGCTCAGCTAGTTGTTCATGATTAACATCATTTCTGGCTGCTCAGTTCCCATGTCATATCCATTATTACATACCTCATGTATCATCCATGCCAATCTCAAACACTACTGATCGTTAAAGAAATACCAGTAAGAGATCTGCTGTATTAAAACATGATTACCTAGATACATAAGTTCTAAAGGCTAGAAGGCATTCAAGGAAAAAAGACCAGAAACCTTCATTAGGTCCAAGATACCAAATGCATCCCTTTTCTGATCCTTCTGCACTGTAATGGAAGAGTTGGAGATAAGTTCCTAGAATATGTAGGTCACTGCCTTTTTTGTTTTTTACTGTGGTCTTCAAAAAAACACGTTACATTTTTCCTTTTATCCTTGGAAGAGTAAAGGCAAAGAGTTCTCCCAGGTTCTGGCAACATTATTCCCCAAGTTGATGGTTTGGGGGGTATCTTTTTTGTTCACTTCTATCTTCCCAACCTATAGATTATTTGACACACAGTGGATGTTTAGCTACTTATGGAATGGGTTAGGTATTGGAATTCACTCTTGTGTTGTATAGACTGTCTTGAAGGAACTTACAAAGTAGGCTAAGTTCATTTCTTCATTCATTTACTCAAGAAGGAACACATGTATTTATTCAGGGACAGTTTTGTTTCCAACAAATTTGCTAAATTTTGGTTGTCATAGCACATTAAACATACCTAGAATAAGCCAGGCACTGGTGTTATATGCCTTTAAACTGAGCACTCCAGAGGCAGAGGCAGGCAGACCTGTTAGCAGCCTGGTCTACAGAGGGAGTTCCAGGACAGCTAGGCCTACACACACACACACACACACACACACACACACACACACACACACACACACACAAACCTAGAATGAAAGAAGAAATCCTCAAGACACAGGATGAACAGTATCTGAGGAAGTTCTTCAGTGACATCCAAGAAAGAAGGAACACAAGTGTTTCAACAGTCTGATGGTCATGGTTTTCTATTTATATCCTCAGGGTCTGAAGCAGCAGGAAGAGGAGCAGATTCGTTCGTGGTGTATGGGATTCTTGGGGAGTCGGTTACTTTCCCCTTAAACATTCAAGAGCCACAGAAAGTTAGGAACATTGCCTGGACTTGTGATTCATCCGTTGCTTTTGTAAAACCTGGACTCCAAGGAGGACCACCTGAAGTTACTGTGACCCGGGCCGTTTATGAAGGACGACTAGATGTCATAGCTCAGAACTATGACCTAGTCATTAGAAACCTGAGGAAGGAGGATGCGGGAGCTTACAGAGCAGACATAAATGAAGAGAACACCCCCACCACCACCACGAAGTACTACCACCTCCATATCTACCGTAAGTCATGGGAGAACAGAGGGCAGACTTTACTTTTGCTTTGGAGATTTCTGACCTAAAGCACACCCATATTTCTGAGAATGGTTTCATAACTCTTTCATACTCATAACTGTATAAGCATATCAGCACCTCTAAAGGTCTAACTTTAGTGCTGGCCAGCTCAGACTTTAGCTTTATTATTTTTCTAGCAGAATTTGTTTTTGGATCTTCATTTTCCTGTCTTATTAAATGCCAACAATCATACTATTGAATTCGCAAGAGTTATTATGACAATCTAGTAAGATACCATCTGAAAAGTGGTCTTTACAAAGCTTTTTGTTTCAAAATAATTGCAGAATGCATAGGAAAGTTCAAAGAACCACAAAAGGAGGTGCTGTGTGCCCTCCATTTCACCTCTTCTGTTCCTCTAGATCCAACAACCCACCAGTCTGATCCCCAGTGCTATAGCAGACCCTCTGGGGTGACATCTCTCCACTGTCTCCCTGATTCCAAGGAGATGAAATGTGCAAGTGCTGGTTGAACACTCTCCTCCTGTAAGAGCTAATACTTACAGGACTGCAGTTCAGTGTGCAAGGTCAAAAACAGGAAGTTGATGTTAGTGCAGTTTGCAAAGCTTACTTAGAAGGCTCCACCTGTATCTGCGCTTATTTATGAATGGAATCCCTTGTAGTCCTATAGAACTTAGTCACGTATGTAGCACTGGATACTACAATCAAGGTAGTTAAGTGCACCATCCCAAGATTCCCTCGTCTCAGCTTGGAGGGTAGAGATCTGTCAGTCCTGACTGTGGCTTTCTCTGGTCAATGGCTTTATGCAGATAACATCTCTGTTCCTGTTGAGATTGTAGTTTTCACTATTATGTATGTCTGCACCAATACCCACCACACACACACACACACACACACACACACACACACGTGCGCGGTCTCTCTGAAAATATGTAAATTTGGATTTTTTGGGGGGGAAGGGCTTCAGCTATGCTTGAATATTCGGGGCCTGCTGTTCTATTGCTGTGAAGAGACCATGACCAAGCCAACTCCTGTAAAAGACAGCATTAAATTTGGGCTTTGCTTACTGTGGTATTGTGTTCCCCCAAATATTGTGCATGATAATAAACTTATCTGGGGTCAGAGACAGAGTAGCCACAATATTAAACATAAAGGATAGCCTGTGGTAGCACACGCCTTTAATCCTAGCATTCCCGAGGCACAAATCCATGTGTTCAAGGATACAGCCAAGCATGGTGACTCACACCTTTAATCCCAGAAAGCCAGCTTTTAATCCCAGGGAGTGATGGTAGAAAGCAGGAAGGTATATAAGGTGTGAGGACCAGAAACTAAAGGCATTTGGCTGGTTAAGCATTTGGCTGGCTAAGCTTTCAGGCTTTTGAGCAGCAGTTCAGCTGAGAGCCATTAGGATGAGGACACAGAAGCTTCCAGGCTAAGGAAACAAGACCAGCTGAGAAGTTGGCCAGGTGAAGTTAGCTGTGGCTTGTTCTCTCTTTGACCTTCCAGTGTTCACCCCAATACCTGGCTCAGGTTTGATTTTATTAATAAGAACTTTTAAGATTCATGCTACAGCTTACAGTTCAGAGGTCTAGTCCATTATCATCATGGTAGGGAGCATGGCAGCATGTGTGGGGCTGGAGCAGGTGCTGAGAGCTACATCCTGACCCACAGGCCCAGAGGCAGAGAGAAAGGCTGGGCCTGGTGTGGGCTTTTTGAAATCTCAAAGCCCACCCCCAGTGACACAATTCCTTCAACAAGGCCACATCTATTTCAACAAGGCCACACCTACTCCAACAAGGCATATCTCCTAACCCTTCTAATTGTTTCAAATAGTTTCATTCCCTGGTGACTAAGCATTCAAACATATGAGCCATTTTCATCCAAACCACCACACCTTCAAAGCTAATAATTTTCAGGTTCAGTCTTTTTTGGTTTTTGAATGGTTTAGTAGGTATCCCAGGCTAGCCTCAAATTCATAATCTTTCTGCTTCACACTCCCAAATGCAAAGATTAGAGGCACTCATCGGCATGTCTAAATACAAGCAGCTTCATTGCTGGGGCCAAAATAAAATGTTTTACAGATACTGGATCAGTATAGCATTTTGCTTTATATTCATGATGTAATGGCTACAAACACGATATGCTTTTAAGTTTCATCTGTTTTAGTATCTTTCCTCTATTGCTTTCTCAAGTATAGAGCATCAATGACGAAAAGGATAATTCAAGCCCAAAGTTACATTTCCAAATTTCTGTGGTTTAAGAACTTCTGCCATGACTAGTTTCCCCTCCTTCTACTCCTACCAGTTCCTCTCCACCTCCCTTCCCTTTCTGTCTCAGGATACATCATATGAGAAAAGAATCTATTTAATCCCAGCACTTGGGAGGCAGAGGCAGGTGGATCTCTGTGAGTTCAAGGCCAGCCTGGGCTACAGAGTGAGTTCCAGGAAAGGCTCCAAAGCTATACAGAGAAACCCTGTGTCATAAATAAATAAATAAATAAACAAATAAATAAATAAATAAATGGGGTAATTGGGAAAAAATAGATATGTGTATATGGGTGTGTACATATATGCATGTAACAACAAATAATGAAAAAATAGGCCATGAATTTGGAAAAGGAGAGGTTATATGGAAAGGTTTGGAGGGAAGAAAGGGAAGAGCAAAATGATATAATTATAATATCAAAAAGCAAAGAAAACAGTTCTTGTGAAATGCTTAATGGGAATAACAAAAAAATAAATAAATATAGGAAAAACATTTACAAAACTATCTTCTATCACTGAATTTAAGATCTATAGGGTTAAAAGGATATGCTTACTCGTATGTCATTACAGATCATGGATGCAATTTGTACAACTCACTGCCAGCACATATCAAAAATAATTTTAAAATAACTTTAGTATAATTTATTTGTTATCATAACTTAATTTTTAATACTGTGTTTAGTATCTATCATACAAATTCCTGAAAAGTTAACAATTGATTCTCAGGAGGTTGTAGATGCTGGTTTTAGCTCACTATAGGCTTGTATGTTCTCTCCTCATAGCTCGGCTTGGAAAACCAAACATTACACAGAGTTTAAAAACATCTGCAAACAATTTTTGTAATGTCACACTGACATGCTCTGTGGAGAAAGAAGAAAAGAATGTGACATACAGTTGGAGTCCCTCGGGAGAGAAAAGCAATGTCCTTCAAATCTTCGAGTCCCCCAAGGATCAAAACTTGACTTACACATGTACAGCCCAGAACCCTGTCAGCAACAGCTCCAACTCTGTCACTGCCCAGCAACTCTGCACAGGTAACCAGCTCCCTCCATCTCTTCTGGAAAGCCTCAGAGATCACTCTGAAGAGCTTCAAGGCTTACCCTTTGACTAATCTTTACATGTATGTGCCTCCTCTGTGCTGACACTAGCCCTGGGTGTATGTTCACTCAGGTAGCCTACTGGGTGAAAACACCAAAGCCTTCTATAAAACACTAAGCATTCCCAGGTATTTTGAGGAGCCCTGGTTGACTCTGATTCATATTGTAAGTTGAAAAACTTTGGCACTCTCTGAAGGCATCTCATTTTGACAGTGGCCATGAATATGGACAACCCTGCACAGAATCTTGGCCCTGTCTTCTGATAGCTAAGACTCACAACAATTTCTATTTACAGATATTCCAAGCTTCCACCTTCGACGTACTGTGTTGATAAGTAGACTGGTTGGTCCTCCTCTGCTTGTTCTCATTCCATTTTCAGTGCTTCTGTTTGACTTGTACAAGAGAAGGCGAAACAGGATTGACTTGGAAGGTAAAATGTGAGAATGTGTCTTCTTTCTTCCAAGGAGTAAATTCATTAATTTAGCTGGAATGGAGTAGAGAGTATCATTTTGGGAACCATAGTAGCAAGCCAAAGGATCAAGGGTAAAACTATTTACCAATCTAGAACACACACACACACACACACACACACACACACACAAAGATTTAACAAAGAAAATATGCTACAAGAGAGAGATGCAGTAGGTAGTCTCAGAGAGAGACTATTCCATGAGAGAGAGTGGAGTTCTTTTCTAACAGTTAGAAGAAAGTATTTGGTCCTATCTTCCAAGACGTTTGTATGTGGTCCATATCTGGGCATCTGACTATCTTGTTAAATAGTAAATTTTATGGTATCAGCTGTCTTTCTTAACACTAGACATTTGAGCTAATCATAAGATGTCACAAGTCACTGGGATCAGTCCTCAAGAGTCTAACTGTTAAAGGATGAGTGTTTATGCTTTTGAGGGAGGGAATTTTTTGTCTCTACATTTTTATTTTGAAGTATTTATTTAACAGTAATAGAGTGGGAGAGCAATGAAAGAGATACCATGATAGAGGGAGACATTATGGGGATAGGGAGAAACTAGGTGTTAGGGAAGTTCTCAGGAATCCACAAGAATGACCCCAGATTAGACTACTAGCAATAGTGGAGAGGGTGCCTGAACTGGCTTACCCCGGTAATCAGATTGGTGAATATCCTGTCATCATAGAGCCTTTATCCAGTAACTGATGGAAGCAGATGCAGAGAACCAGAGCCAAGCACCAAGCCAAGCTCTAGGAGTCCAGTTGAAGAAAGAGAAGAGGGATTCTATGAACGAGGGGCATCAAGATCATGATTGGGAAACCTACAGAGACAACCAAACCAAGCTAATGGGAACTCATGAACTTTAGATCAACAGCTGTGGAGCCCCCATTGGACTCGACTAGGAGCTCTGCCTAAGCAAGACAGTTGTGTACCTTGATGTGCTTAGGGGGCCTCTTGGCAGTAGGATCAGGATCCATCCCTGGTGCATGAGCTGGCTTTCTGGAGCCCACTGCCTATGGTAGGACACCTTGCACAGCTTTGATGCAGGGAGAGGGGCTTGACTTGCCTCAACTGAATATACTAGGCTCTGCTGACTCCCCATGGGAGGCTTTACCTTGTCAGAGGAGGGAATGGGGAATGAGTTGAGGGAAAAGGCTGGCGGGGTGGGCAGGAGGAGGGAAGAGGAATATCTGTGGTTGGTATGAAAAATGAATAAAAAATTTCTTTTAAAAAACAAATGATTGAAGCCAGTGATTGTAGCTAGAGTTTTCCAGTCCTGCCTGGCCCATGGTCAGAACAAATCTCTCTCACCCGCCAGTCCCACAGCCGCTCAGACCCAACCGAGAAAACACACAGAGAATTATATTGCTTATAAACTGTATGGCCGTGGCAGGCTTCTTGTTATCTAGTTCTTATATCTTAAATTAACCCACTTTTATTCATCTATAAGTTGCCACATGGCTTGTGGCTTACCGGTATCTTTTACATGTTGCTTGTCATGGAGGTGGCTGGCAGCGTCTCTCTGACTCAGCCTTCCACTTCCCAGAATTCTCCTCTCTCCTTGTCCCACCTATACTTCCTGCCTGGTTACTGGCCAATCAGTGCTTTATTTATTAACCAATCAGAGCAACACATTTAATATACAGAACATCCCACAGCAAGTGATGCTTAACCAAGTCACGATTTTTGATGTCCCCACTGACACACTTGCTCATTTGAGGGGGATGCTTGTTGACAGTTGAGGCTGTGCATTCTTGTTCCTAGAAGCAAGGTAGGGACATGCTTGTTCACAGTGGTACTGAGAAAAGGACTTGAGTTGCTTTGTCTCTGTCTCCACTCGTGTCCTGGGACACCCTATGTGACTGCTGGCATTCAGAGAACACAGTGAAAGCAATGCTCTTGATCAAAGCTAAAAACCCTTAAAGCCACACAGGACATGGAGCTGAATGTGGGAATCATTAAAAAAAAAAAAGTTTTCTGAACATATGACAACCAAAATTAATTCAAAATCAAGTACATAATTAATCGAGGCTGTCCTGTCAGTGTTCAACCATATTGCAACACACGGCTCCACTGTAGCCTTGGATGTGAACACACAGTTCCTGTGCACTGGGCAGGCTGTCACATCACACAATGGCAGCAGACACTACCCAAAACAGCTCAGCTCGGACCTGAGATGCTTAAATGTGTTTACCTACAAAAAAGGTTTCTGCTCCCCTGAAAACAACAGTTTAATTACAGAAAACAAAAAAGTTTAACATTTTCCTACAATCCTTCTTCAGCATACATAAGTATAAAATTAGTATATTTTAGGTTTGCTGTGTCAGAATGTTTGATTTAAAAATTACTGGTTGGGGTCAGGGGTCAGCAAGATACCTCAATGAATAAAGATGCTTGCCTCAAACCTGATGGCCTGAGTTCAATACCCAGAACCCATGTAAAAGTAGGAGAGAACTGATTCCACCAAATTGCTCTCTGACCTCCATACACAGAACATGGCGCACATTTCTACCTCTCCCTCCCTCCCTCTACCCTCCCTGGCTCCCACACATAAATACACACTTCAGTAAAAATACATTTTCAAAAATTGCTGTTTGATTTGCTGATTTGAGTTTCACTAAAAAAAAAAAATCAATGAGTTTTGGCTTGGAACTAGGGCAGAATTTCCATTGATTTCTGAATGGTTCTAAAACAAATGCCTGCAACTTGTTGTATGACAAAACTCTTCATGAGGAGATACACATGTTTACTCACTCCTGATAGGGATTTCACAGCAGACAGTGGCATGAATATCACCAAGGTCCAACTTGGTGAGCCAATGAGTTTTATAGGAGTTACTTAAAGGAATGTGGGTGAGGGGTTACTTACATTGCTGTGGGCTGCAGAAATACATAGTAGGAATTCAGCTGATTATGGCAAAATCTTTTACCTGGGAAAGTTAAGAACTCTTCCAGAAGACAAAGCCAAGTCTCAAGAAGCATTGGTGTTATTTGGCTTTTGAATATATCAGCTGTTTCCTACAATTAATTTCATGTGTGCTATTATAGCTTCCCCAAATGATTCTTTTTCCAAGAACTTCTAACAGTATGTTTGATCATTAATTGGGTGTAGCTAGAGTTTTCCTGCCTTGCCCACAGTCAGGACAAATCTCTGTCACCTGCCAGTCCCACAGCCACTCAGACCCGACCAAGTAAACACAGAGACTTATATTGCTTACAAACTGTATGGCTGTGGCAGGCTTCTTGCTAACTGTTCCTACAGCTTAAATTAATCCATTTCTATAAATCTATACCTTGCCATCTGGCTCGTGTGTCTTACTGATACTTTACATCTTCCTTGTCCTGGTGGCAGCTCCTTCTGCCTTCCTGTTCTTTTATTTCTCCTCTCTGTTAGTCCCGCCTATACTTCCTGCCTAGCCATGGCCAATCAGGTTTTATTTATTGACCAATCAGAGCAACACATTTGCCATACAGACCATCCCACAGCACAGCCAAGTGCAGACCATCTCAGACACCTGCACTCAGGCCCGTGGTCCTAATCATCCTCTATTTGGACCTGCTGGGTAAAGCCACGAGGAACCCGAGAACGGGCTCCCACAGGACATACAGAACATACAGAACATCCCACAGCATTTGGGCACAGTTTTTCCCTATGCAAGTAGCATTACAGATCACCTGATAGTCTCCTGAAATAAGGTAAATATCCATTCTGAGACAACCACCAAGACCAGGCAGATATTAGGTACAAATCCTTGTTTCTTGTGCAAATTGGGCTTGAATCTTTCTTTCTCCTATAGCCCAAGTGGAATTTCTAGACTTCCTTGTAGATGAATCTTAAAAGGTCTTATTAAATAAAAACCCGGAGCCAGATACTGGGGTTGAAACCTGAGCGATCAGAGGAATAAGAGAAGCCACAAGCTAACTTCACCTCATCAACACCTCAGTCTCCAAAGAGACCTACTTCCTGTATACTCATAGCTACATGCCTTTCTGTTTTACTTTATCATTTGCTCTCTCTGTCCAGCTACATCACTTCCTCTTCCTGCCCAGCTCCATCACTTCCTGTCTGTCTGTACAAACCTCCAGACCTCTATAGTTAGTACTGGAATTAAAGGTGTGTGTTACCACGCTTGGCTCTGCTCCCAGTATGGCTTTGAGCTCACTGAGATCCAGGCAGATCCCTGCCTCCTGAATGATAGGATTAAAGGCATGTGCTACCATTGCCTGACTTGTATGTTTACTAAGTGGCTGGCTTTTTCCTCTGATCCTCAAATAAATTTTATTGAGGGACACAGTATATTGGGGGACACCACACCTCCTCTTTAACAATTACTCAGAACAAAAGGGCTTTTTATATACCAGGTGCATCAAGCTGTGACACAGGTTACTAGCTACCAAGTACTCTTCCCCCATCCTTCCAGAAAATAGCGACAAAGGTAAAAAGGGCAATTTTATAAATTATAGTTTGAGCACATTCATGACTTAGTGACTTATAAACTCTTAACATTTTGCCTAACCACTTCAAAGAACACAGTTGGAGCACATATTCCCTTTCTGATTTATTAACCGATTCCTACCCTTAATTGACCCCACCTCCTTTATTCACTCCCCTTTTGAGTTGCAAATGAAGCTGACTATCACTGATCTTGTAAGGACCTTGAAGGCCTGGCATTGCATTGTCAAAGAATTACTGCTTGTAAGTGTATAGATACCAGTTCCCCGAGTAGACTGGCGAATTTTGTCTAAGAAGAATGAAGTGAATGAGACAAATGAAGATGGGAAGAACTAGAGAGAGCAATGAGAGAGAAAGGAACTAAGATAGGACAATCTGAGGGCAGCAGAAGAAAGCACAGAGAATCAGGCAAGATAGGAGCTAAGGATGAGAGAAGAAAAGAATCTATATAGAGGAATTTTGTCTTAGAAGAATAAAGTAAATGGTCTAAAGAATAAAGTAAATGGTCTAAAGAGCTCGGTGTACTTAGATTCATTTCCCTCAGATTAATTCTCGCCATTGGTAGCATCTCTTCAGGGACCCTGGGAAAAGACTATTAGAGGCTGGACCCCAATAATCTTTGATATTACAGGAACAGAAATGACTCAAAGACAGCTACATCACCAAAGCCCACCACAGCATAAGTGACAGCTCACAAAAGCTGGGAACCTGGAACACACTGCACAACCTGTGGGTAAAAACTCAAACGTTGGAGAGTGTCCTTTCTAGGCGCTTCAGTTGGTCTAAACATCTTTGGCTATCCCTTACCAGGGCATTGCAAATCACCACATCCAAACACACAAGCAGAGCGGGAAACCTGTTGTTGGGCATTGCTGGTACCCAGATGGGCATATAGACACTTGGTCTTACTTTTCAAATCCTTTCTATGTGAATGGCAAGAGTTCCCTAATACGGTGCCTCCCAAGCTTCATAACATCACAGAACATATAAAAGTTATGTTTATGGCACACTGGATGAAATCATCAAGGTTGCTCATATTTAAAGAAGACTGGAGATGCCTGGAGGATTCTCATGTCTAGATGTAGCATCACTGTCCAGCAGCTGTGAGAAGATACCACTCAGTATTTTGGACACCTGGAACACACCACAGCATACCAGCTAGATGTTCTGTGCAGATTCCACATGTGTAAAGAACCCTGATGCAAGGCCTCCACGAGCTGCTAAAGACCTTAAGCAACTTAGGAAAGACATCCTTGGAGGATAAGTAACCCCTCACTTGAATGCATGGTA